AATACAGGCTGTGGCAGACTGTCTAGAAAGAAACTGCAGAGAAAAGACCTGGGGGATCCTGCTGGACAACCAGTTGACTGTGAGCTAACAGTGTGTTCTTGTGGCAAAGAGACCCACCAGTGTCCTGGCACGAGAGTAACACGAGGCCACCAGTCTGGCTGAGGCTCTGGCACCTGATGTACAGGGAGAGGCCGAGAGAGCTGGGTCTGCCAGCCTGGAGAAGAGAAGGGAAAGGGGGATGTTATTGCTCTATGCAGGATGCAGAGAACACAGAACCAGACTTTTCTCCAAGGTGCACAGGGAAAGGATGAGCTTTGGAATATGAGAAACTCCATTTAGACATCAGCATTTTATTTTTCTTTGACCAGAACGTGGTCAGACACTGGGGTAAACTGGCTCAGAAAGGGTTTGGGATCTCCATCCTTGGAGGTGATCAAGGCTCAGCTGGGCACAACCCTGGGCAGCCTGGCCTAATTAGACCTGCTCTGAGCAGGAGGTTGGACTAGATGCCTCTGGAGTTTGGAACCAAAATTATTCTGTGATGTTATGATTATTTTTTGGTTTTAATTAGAGCATCTTCTTTCCTAGAATCATCACAGAATTAAAGCATTACCACTGCATTGACTGTCAGGTTTGGGGGGTGCTCAGGAAAAAGGAGGGAGAGGAATTTCCCCTCCCAGGTTAGTTTGACTGAGATCTTAAATATCTGTTTTCTTGCGTGTCTTGGGGGTGATTTACTTTTGCCCACAGCCTGTTGTACAATTCTTGTGGACATGCCTCTCATGGTCTTGTTCAGTACTCACAGCAGGCAGCAGGCTTCAAACTAAGAGTCCACCAGTTTAAGTAAATATGCTGAGTATTTAACCAAATATGTGCTGAATATTTTGGTGAAAGTTAATAGTCTCAGCACAACAAAGGGTGAGACTTAAACAGTGGGAGGTGAAGGTAAAGAGCGGCTATTTAGTTGTTTGATTTAGTAACTAATATCCACATGCACAACAGTCATTTTTGTAAGGACTATTGTATTTATATTTGCAGAATAAAATAATGAGACATAAGCTTAATGCAGTTTCTAATCATCATGAAAGCTTTCATGAAAAACCAAACCCTTAGCAGAACTTGTAACTGCTCTGTCAGGCTTGGCAAATGTGATAGGATGTATGTTGGAGAGTTCTCCTAAGGAAAGATTCTCTCTTTAAGCATGTTTTATGCGTGTGCATTTGTAAACCAAATCCAGCAGCTAGTCCCTTCATGGTAGACTTGTGAATCTTTTTCTGTGGGAATGCAGTAACATAGGAGCATTGCATTTCAGTTATTATATCACTATGAGGCATGGTGTTGTCAAAGACAAAACCTTTAGATATCTTTGAAAACACACACTATTGTGCCTTTAAAGAGCACTTGATGTTAAAACACCTCCAGAATGTATTGTTCAAGCTCTACAAGGTTGACTGCTCTTATTGTTCCATTAAAAGGGACTGTATAACCAACTGTACAACTGAACAACTTGCCGACTCTTGACCTCTGCTGATACTTCAGCTCAGCCCCTCTCAAACAAAACCAGTTTCTGTTTGCGTAGCCATTAGTAAGTGATATAAGGAAGAGTATCTTAATGCCTTCCTGAGACTAGGTGATCTAACCATGCCCTCTGTTTCGTTGTACTCTGCTCACAGCTGTGACTGAAGGGTTAAAAGTGACTGTCAATGCCCTGGCAGCATGTGCTCCCCACCCTGGGAAGCCGGACTGACGTGGCTCTTGGCCAACACTGATAAGCAGCTGTCTGGCCTTGAAAAAAAGCTCTCTGAGACAAAGCTGGCAGGCGTTTCCGTGGGGGCTGCCCCCCGCTTCTCTCGGGAGCCGTGTCTAAGCCGAGAGTCTCATCCCTCACTCCCACCTGTGCTGGGCTGCAGCTGCATCGCAGCCGTGCCTGTGCCTGGCCACTGGCAAGGGGCATGCAGTTGGTGGCTACTCACCGGGCTACTAGGGCTTCTCTCACTCTCCAGGTGCCGTGCTGCAGGGCAGGCGTCAGTGAGCAGCGGGAAGGGGAGCCGGCAGTGCAGCGCAGTATGGAGCGGCAAGTTCGGGTTGGGATCAGGGCTGGACACAGTGGTCAAGGTCAGACACAACTCAGGGCAGGCAACGTGGCAGGTCCAAGTTCAAGCTGGGAAGCAGAGCAGCTGGGTCCAGGTCAGGGCCAGGCCAGTGAAGGTCTGAGGCTGATCACAGAGGTAGCTGCTGCTCAGCTGCAGCGTAGCACCAGAAGGGGCTGGTGGTAAAGCTTCAGCTTAAAAGCAGCTCCCAAGAGAAAGGAGGACAGGCCCTCAGGTCCTAATTTCTTCACAACAACTCTGGTTGGCAAAGGAGCTGCCCTCAGACTCAGCCAGCTAAACTCTTTCCCGTGACCAGTTAAACACCTAGAAGGGCTATGACGTCAGGGTGCTGTGGCTAGCGGCTTCGTCCGTAGCAGTTCTGGGCCAGGAGCCTGTGCCACTCTTGTGAGGGGTTTGTTCGTGTTCTTCCTCACTTGGAGGAGAAGGAAAATTATGAACAATGAGGCAAAGCAACGGTGCCCCCCTATTCAGCTATATCCATATAGTATGGTCTCACACTAACCCATGACATAAGAATCTGTTGCTGCCACTTGTTTCTTACACCAAAGCTGCCTTCACTCCTTTGGCACTGCTCATGGCTTACGTTTGCCTGGAGGTCTTGCTTAATGTTGCCTGGATTTTCTTGAATAGTTTTCCAAAAAGCTCAAATCCACCTTCTTTCTATAGTCACCAACATGATCAAGCTTCAAGCCTGAAGCTACCCAACTGCCACCCTTCTTGCGCATGTTGTAGTGTGGTGGTTTATGGGAGTGAGAAAAAGGGCACATCTGGCTACTGCTGATGCCTCAGAACAACACAGTGGGTGGTACTCTCAGTCACTGCAGCTTCTATGGGTCACTCCCCACAGACAGCAGTGAAAATAAACCACAGTGTTAGGAGTGGTGAATCATCCTTGAGCCATTCAGGGAGACTTTTCCATTGTGAAGATCGAAGCTATCATGACGACATCTCCCAGGCCAGATTTGGGCCATAGGTACTTTCATGAAATCCAGTCCCCTTTTTTTTTTTTTTTTTTTTTTCTTGAAAAAAGCTTCCTACTCCCTCTCTCCCATGTTTTGGGACATCTCCTGTGCCTGACAGAGTCCTGTCACTGTGCCTGTGCTTGGTTCCTAGAGTTTGGAGCCATCATGTCCACCATGGCTATCCAGTACATCCCCAGCAAGAAAAAAAGGAAATTGTACTGCAATGCAAACTAAAGTCCTAAGGAAAAATCCACCACAAGAGAATTTATTTATACAGCCCCAAAGTACCAGGCTGATCAGAAGCTGTGGCAGTCATACCTGTTCTTTGGTTTTCAGTATTCTTTCTTAGATAGAAGAGGGCCTTCTTTCCAGCAATCTCAACTTTCCACAGAAGTAAACCTATTGTCATGCAAAGCATACACTTTTTGAAAAGGTTAGCAGAATCAGCAACCACCAAAACCAATTTTGACATAGTTTCCAGCCACCCCCCTGGTTGTATTAGCAGGAAGTCCCAGATTAGAAACTTCTTTTGCAGGCCAGCCAAGTCTGGCACTAAATTGTTCCAGCCTTTCCTCGTGGGTGGGGGATTACCCTTACCCAGAGTTAGTTATAAAATCCTATCCCTTTGCCATGGGGACCATTCCTACAACCTCTGCAGAATCTGGACTCACTGTAGCTAAAACTCTGCTTCGTCAGCAAAGACACTGCAAATTTAAGCCTACGATTCATGGAGAAGTCTGCTCAGAAACCTCTGGCTAATCTTTGAACTATTTCCAGTCATTGTTTTTGTTGGCTTCATGGTGGAAGAGAATTTTTGTAGCTTTGTCTTTAGAGACCTTTATTGTGTGCATTGCATACCAACCGGTCTTTTCATTCAGTTGTTCAGTTCTCTCTGGACTACCAGTTCTCTACAAGTTTTCCTACTTCAGAAAGGTTTGGTTGTTTTGTTTTTTTTTTTCTGTTCACTGCCAGTTACAAAATCTGAATTCCTTTGCAATAGCTAATGATGAAAACTTCTCTTTTCTCTATTGCTGCCCACTATGAGGAGCACTTATACCAGAGAAGCTTTTCTGGAGGAACTCATGGTGTCCAGGACATGTATTAATTATGCAGGCAATGGACTTTCTACAGCTTCAACTGATGTTCTGCCCATAGGTTTGACAGGGGATGACAGACAATGCCACAGTTTAGAACCATGAGACCTTTTCTTCTTGTCAGGTGGGTGCTATTCAGATCTTTGTTATAGGTGAGTCAGTTACAGGCAGAGCTGTCAAGCATCAACACTTCAAACACGCAGACATTTAAGGTGATGTTCACACCACCTAAATAAAGCATCTTTCTTGGACAGTGCTTCAGCTGAGCGCTTAGGTGACTACACCAGGAGCTTGGGAGAGCTGACTGAAGCATGCTGTTCTGTGTAGTTAGGCAGATCAAATAGTTTAATTAGTATTCCCCTGAAATGAGCTGCTGGATGAAGTTATCTCCTCATCTTCGCAGCCTCTGCCATCACTGTTTCACTGTATTTAGATTCTAGTGTGAAGTGCTAAGGCTTGGACAACTGGCCCAAGCCAGAGTTGACCTATAGATGAATCCTGTATATTTTATAACTGAAAACCATTGTGCTAGTAGGTATTGTACTAAGTTATAACAACGCACTTATGCTGATGTAAAAAGTGCTAAAGCATCCAAGTACTGAAGCCTGAACAACAGGCCCCAAGCTGAAGCTGCTAACTTAGTCTGTAATCATTAACAAAGTATGTAAGCTCGATAGTGAAAGGTGCAGCTTAGACAAAATATAATCAGTAGTGAGGAGAGAATGTATCCAACTTCCCTTGTTTAGCCTTGTTCAAGGCTGAGAACCCAGGTATTTGGCCTTGTTAGCAACTCCCTTGGTTTCCCCCCCGAGCCCTGGCCAGGCTTTGGGTGGAATCCAACAGGAGAATGAAACCAGAAATTTTCCGCTCAAAACAAATGTGCCAGCTATTCTGGCCTGTCGATCTCTGGTATGTAAGGCTGGACTCACTTGCAGCGACTCTGGAAGCCTCACCTCTGGGTGGATGCACCGCGTAGGATTTCCCGCTTGCTGGGACAGGTTCTCCAAATCCTCGCTGAGACCAGGGCTGCCCAGCGACTGTGGGTCTGGGTGATGGTAAAGTTTGCAAGTGGTGAGGGATCTTTCTTAATCACTATTCTCTCTCTCTCAGGTAGTAACGATTTGGTGCATTACCCTGTATTTTCCTATTTGTTGCTTTGGGTGCACTATTCTGCCTTTTCTTACTGCCTGTCTTCTGTATTACACTGTGACATGATTTGGTTATCACCAGTAAAATCCGCCTACTCTTTTCCTCTGGTGTCTGAGTTTAATTGACATCCTTAATCAGCAAAACATAGTGTTACTTTTTGGGGGGGGTTTCACTTCCCTCTTTTAGCCAAAGATAGAGTCACAGAGGCCCAAAAGCAACATTTACTAACCGCATACTAATTAACATTCATGGCCTGACGACTGCTCAGGACCCCTTCTATTCCAGAAGACAGAGATCATTGCTAGAAGGTCAGTGCGTCTGGACTAATCCTTGCTGTGAGGTTTGTCTCAGGGAAGTAGTGCTCAGTTCAAATAATTTAAATAAAAATCAGGATCAAGGAGGTTTATAAACTGAGGCAAATATTTAACTGGCAATCAGTGATCTATACATGCAGGATCAATACTGGTGATACAACAGACAATGTTAGGCACTTATGAAACCTCAGTAACTATCTACACGTTTCTAAAGATCATTTTACTACTAATTTCAAGAAATTCTAATTGCACACATGTTGGGATTCAAGAGGACTTTCTGCGAGAGAATGGACATGTGAGCAATCCTGAGTGAGAACAAGGCTGGTAAGAGCCTCTGCTGAGCAAGAATGCGATAAGGACGTAACCCTGAATGAGGGGGGAGAAACTTGACGAGACAAACAACCCCCGGAAGGGGTTGGGATGGAAGAGGAAGTTACACAAGGCAGGAAGCCTGGCAAGACTGATGTGGCACTTTTTATCCAATTGTAAGAAGGTTTAAAGCAAGGGCTAAGTTAACTGTCCAATCTTGAGGACTTGTACTGCATGTTACTCACATGTGCAGGAGAACATGTGAAGGGCTTTTCTAGTTGTAATAAAGGGGCATTGCTTGATCACACTGGTCGTGTCCATGCTCAGCTGTCCTGCACACACATGCATTCACACACACAGAGTCACATGGGTATATGCACAAACCTCTCCTCTCACAGGACAAGCAACCCCCCCATCCCCATTCTTTTGGAACCCTTTTGGGTTTCCCTACATGTCCTTACATTTCTCCAGCCTCATGGGTACTCGTGCCTCATCCTACCAACCTCTGGTCCATGTGCCAGCGGGAAGACCCCCCATGGGCTGCCACACAGAGCCCTGGGTGCGGGTCCGTGCTGGCTGCACCATGCCCTGACCCTCCCTGCTGGGTGTGGGCTCCTCATCACATCCAACGGGGAGGTGGCTCTGTCTGGCTGAAGCAGGAGTTGGGATGTCAGCAGGCGGACTTCTGGCAGTGCCAAACCAGGATTTGGCTCCAGCTTTTTTCAGTCCAAGGTCTTTGTCCTCTTGTTACAAAACTTCATGCTTTTCCTTCTTTTCATGCTGCTTCTTTGTTTCAAAAACCTCCTTGAAATTCCCCAATTACCATTTGATCTGGGTGATGGTCACATTCCCCTTTAACATAATCAGTTTGGGGCACCTGCCTTCTGGATAATTTATATATTTCATCCATACACTCATTGTGTTCACTCATATTTTCATTCTAATGGCTGAGTTTCTTCAGGTCATTTGCCAAGGCTGGGACATGAGCATCCAAAAAGGGTCTTGATGTCATAGTTACGAGTGGAAATCCTCTAGGTAAGCTTATGTCAGCCAAAGGAGACATTGTGCTGGTGGAGTTAAACCAAAAAGCAATTTTTCCAATACAAGTGGCATTCTCATGGTTGGTGATAGTAGAAAAAGAGTGGGAAAACTTTCAGCTCTGGATCACATTTTCCTCAACCCTTCTGATCGAAGAGGTACTAGGGAAAACTTAATAATGCAAATCTTTAAACGAAGCAATGTTGGAAGACCCTGCATGTGGAAATAATCTCAGTTCTAGCTGCAGTCTCCCAGAAGATTATGGAACAAACCCTTCTGGAATTTCACTTAACATCATGTTTAACATCTTGTTAAATGATGAGTTCACCATTATCAAGCTCACAGATCGTGTGAAACTAGGAGGAGTAGTTGCTACACTGAGGAGTAGGCCTGTCACTCAGAGGGATCTTGACAGACTGGAGAAATGGGCTGACAGAAACCTCGAGAGATACAAGAACAAATGCAAAGTCATGCACCTGGGAGGGAGTAACCCCATGCTGGAGCTGACTGTCTAGGAAGCAGATCTATAGAAAAGAACCTGGGGGTCATAGTGGCAGCCTTCAGCTAAAGGTGGTTGTTACATGGCCCAGCATGCTCTGCTACAGTCATTTTAACCAGTCACTCATTTGCTCTGTGAGTAGCCTTTACAAGCATTACCTAATACTTATCAGTTGTTAGCACAAGGAGTTAATAGTACGGTGAACAGAGCACGGTGAGTTTCTTGGGCACCTCAGTCTCTCTTCAGTAATCCCCCTTGCTGTGAGATAGTGGGATGCTGAAAATCTGCAGGAGTTGCTTGCAGTTGTGGGATAGATGAAAATTTACTGTGATTTAGAGCCTGTGGAGTAAGCTAACGGTAGAGGAATATGGTAAGAATTTAAAGAGAAGTAAATCTGAAGCTAATGAAAATGAAGCTAAGTGCCAATGCAAACCAAATGGTTAGTTTGTTAAAAAAAAAAAAAAATCCACAAGATTTTCTGTCCAAAAGGATGGAAACTGAATGAAGAAATAAGCATCGGGAACAACAGGGTGATTTGCAGACTAGATTGTTCTCCACTTAATATCAGGGTCACCACATCTCATTTTGTCAGTGCAAAGCACAAGAATTTGTCACTTGGATCTTCTGAATCTCCTTTCGCACCTGCAGGGCTGCAGAGCCAGCAATCTAACACAGCTGTGGTACCAGGCTGGAGCTTTTCTCCTCCTGCGATGCTTCCCGGCCCAGGAGCCCTGAGAGTAAGAGCAAAACTAAAAGAGTAGCTGGTAGGCAGAAGACTGGTGGGTGTCAATGAGTCAGAAAGGTAAAAGTCTGGTCAGAAATTAAGTAAGAGACCAAATGTGTGGTGATGATGTAGTAAAAAATGTGTTCCATCATGGCTGCCCCGCTGCTCCAGGGAGAGAGCATGGGATAAAAGCATCCCGTTTGAGAAATAGCTGCTGGTGAGCTCGTAACCACTAGATGGAACCCAAACACTTTGTGTTAATTCACTTATCAGCTGTAGGGAGTTAATCCTGATTTTAAGTAAGGCTGTGGTTCTGGTGGCAAAGTGTTAACACCTGTACCATAAGGCTTGTATAGAAACACAGCAAGAGCTCTGAAAATGTAACTCGTTTACTCCAGCTAGTAGGGATACTGAACATTTTATGTTCAAACCTTAATAATGTTGTTGGTTCTTACAGCACGGCACAGAAACCTCCGATGGCTTAATGAAGAGCCCTGGGATACATCCTCCATTAGACAGACCACCAGCACATGATTTGGGGTAAGCCATTTAACTCGACTGTGGCTTCGTTCCCCCATTGCTAAAGTGATTTTTGAAAGTGTCTGCCTTGAGGTATTCTCTAAATGATTTAATGCTCTTTGGTGGGGTACATCATGCCAATACACAGCTGCAGACAAAAACGTGATTGTCTAGAAACTGCTGCTCTACCACAAATCCTGTATGCTGCTGTCCTCCAGGTTTCTGAGCAGCAGGAAGAGGAAGATCCAGACTTATTTTCTTACAGCTCACTAAATGCAGGAAACTAAAGGAGAGTTGCTACTCATTTCTGAAAAGCTTATAATATTTAATTATTTTTTTGAAAGAATAACCAGTATTACAAAGCTTAGAGGCCACAGGCGATATCAGGTCTCTGTTGCACCACGTCTTGTACAAACACAGAGTAAGAGGAATTCCTTCCCTTAAGCAGGTTATAGTCTTCATAGAAAAAACATACCTGGGGACAAAAAAACAAAGCAAGCAGTGCCCTAGTATATGCGAACAAGCCATCACCCTTTATCTAAGGGACTTTGGAGGGAAAAGAGTAGCTCGGCAGCTGGTGTAAAGCTGGTGTAGCACCACTGCTGCTGTGAGTTTACAGCAATTCACACCAGCTGAGGATATGCCTAAGGTAGGTGAGGTGTTTTTCTTAACATCATATTCAAAGCATAGCCTGGAGTTGAACCAGATCTTCAGAATCCTAATCACAAGGCTTTCCTTTTCATATATGTGCTATCCCACCGGGGAAGGGTGTCTTGTTTGACTCAGACTGTGGTCCTCAAGGACTCGGGTGAAACATCATTGCATGCAGCTTGTAGGAACCTAGCTAGGATTTTTAGATGGGCCCACAGTATCGTGGAGAAAGACTATTTCAGATCTGAAAAAGAGACTGAAAACTTGTAATTCATGGTTTTAAAGGAGTGTCAGGTGGAAGGAAAGTAGAATTTTTACTATTACCAAGCCAATTTTAAAAATAATTCATATTCTAAGTGATGCTTGATTAAATTTTGCCTTTTCTAACCGAACAGTGTGATAGGTTGCTGTCTAATATCAGATAATTGCATTGTGTATTAATTGAATATGTCACTCCAGATGAATTAGCAGCCTGTAAAAGACATTAAAGATTATTTTTCCTTACCTGCACTGGGGTGATATTGTGACTATATTAATAGCAGCCATACAGTATGGAGCAATATGGAGATTTCTCAAGACACATGGGAGGCAGATGGCTCCAAAATGTTGCTCGGCAGTTACTTTATCTTTCAAATAAAAAAAAAAAACCAACCAACCCAGGAATAACTGGTTAACTATTTGAGAAATGCTTATAAAGTACCCAGCTAAAGGTTAAAAAAAAAAAAAAAAGATTTTTATCAATTTGTACGCATAAACAAAAGGACCACCAAGAAACTAGTGAAAGTCAACAGAATATTGAATATGGAGCAGGAAAGGCTTTTCCATTAGTAGGAGACTAATGGTCCCTCTGGTATACTGTCCTTCAGAGAAAGAAAAGCCAGACCTCCAACAAGTACATTTTGCTGACTGCCAAAAGCGTGCAGGGGAAGTGGTAGAGAAGTTAGTTCCTAATTTAATTTGTTGATTAATTGATAGCATATAGGAAATATATTGGCAGTGGAGCAGTTCAAAATCGTAACAGTCTGTAGAGTGTTTAGTCTTTTAGACTTCCAAATACAGCTTGTGGGTTTAACAGGAACAGTTTACAAAACCTAACTTGAAGCTGGTGAAGTTTTTCCTTTGGAGGGGTTCAACTAGGAGAGTAAAACAGCAGATAAGACGTTACGGAGCAGAGTTAGTAACGGTCACACAAAAAAGGTCTAGAAAAAGACAGCGGGTGAGCGCTCTACAAGTGGTGAGCCCGTCCTCCTGATTCACAGACCAAGCTAAAGACATAGCATTTCCCACTTCTGGCATTTCCTCCTGTCTGTGCAGTATTATTAATAATTAGCATTATTAATAGCAAGATGCTAAACTTTGGCTTTGCCATGCTGGTGACTAGAGGAAGATCAGCCGAACGAGGTACTGGGACTGAGAATAGGTGGAACAAGGGTGGGGTTTTTTTAATTGAAGGCTTGCTCTGCACATGAATTCTGAATTTTCTGGTTTGCTCAGTGCTCTCCTCCTTCTGTTTCACAAATGTTAACAACTGAACAACTCCATCCCCCAACTCTTGGAAAAAAGTAGTTTGCCTCAGCAACTTTCTGCAGTATTCTTGGAAATAAGGACATAAATGAAATGAAGAAAGCAAATGACTTGTGAAAAGGGACTAGCAGGCTTGTCATAGCAGTTTAAGCATATAAAAGACACTGTGCTTGTAATGATAAATTTTATGAGTCTGATATAAAGTAGCAAAATTTTAAAAACAGTAACTAGCATTTTAACGACTCATTGCTGATTGTCTTAAGAGAGTAAATAGTAAATACCCATTCAGTTCTTTCTTCACTTTCGTAAGATTGTGTTTTACACTGACCACACAGATATATTGTCTTCCAGATTGAGACTACTGACACGCATTCACAATTTATGCTTAATTATAAAATCCCTGTGGTCTTGGCTGGAGACAGTTTTCCTAGACTTTGGGCTTGATTATCTTCTGTGATACGCAGGCATCTCTTTCTTTATTGGAGGGCATGAGTCTGTATTAAGAAAGCCTGTTACTGGTGTGCAACATTCACAAGTGATTAAGTCTTTACATTTAGTTTAATCCTGTTCCATCTATTCTGGAATAGTTCTGCCTCCAGGAAAGGGTTAGCTAACTGATTTTGGTTTTCCAAGTAGTACTTTAACAAGCAACAACAGGTTTAAAAATTAAATATAGGATCATGTGTTTCTCCAAGTGGACTGTACTCTCATGCTTGGGGAAAAAAAATGGAAATTGCCTGGGGGTTACACTTACATACTGCGATAATTTGATTTTACCATCTCCAGGATGCTTTCAGTTCCAGATCTGAACTCCTGCAGAGACAAAGTGCAAAGAGGGTGAGTGCTGGGATCAGAAACAGAACGGGAGTGAGATGAGTTAGTTTGGGCGATTCCAACAACAACAAAACGGTGTGGATTTTGTCAAGCTTTCTTCTCTTTAACCATCAGTTGTGATTATAAATCAGAATTCACACCGCTAGTTGACACAGGTCTTTTGTGCGTCTCTTTTCTGGGTCTCCCACGGACCTTGTGTCGTATCCACCAGTCCAAGGCAGATGTCTTCAAAACCCTGTTATCTCAGGCTAGTTAGGTCACACACAGAGACTGCCAGGTGCTTAGAAGCGGGTCTCTCTGTCTGGAGGTAAATTTCCACCCTCTTCTACATTAATGTTATGAGGCCAACAACATCTTAAGAGTCAGATCTTTGCATGTAGATCAGTGATGTTTCAAGTGAAAAGCCTTGCATCGTTGGTGTGCAGTGCAGCCAGGGAGTGACAGTATCACAGAGAAGCTCAGTGCTTCCCTAAAGGCTGAATGAACAGCAAGATGAATAGAAGAAACTACCTTAGATCACTATTTCAAGACTAAAAGAACGCTTAAAGCTCCAAATCTTTCTCTCATAAAATCTGAAGTATGGTTGACTAACAAAACTGGAAGCTTTGGTCTGAATTGGTTATCGTTAAAAAAAATAAAAGGTGGCACACAAGTTTTACTGTGCTGCGGTGACTGATGGAGAGCAAGAGTCTGGTAATTGCAAACCAGTCCTGGAAACCTCTTGACAGTTTTAAAATGCAGAAACTTGATCCGAAGATGATGCAGCAGTAATCAGCATTTTACCTGAAAAATATTACCAACGCTCTCTTCTTCGGAGGCTGAAATGATAGGAAAAGTAAATATGGCAAATTAATGTAGGAACACATGTTACAACGTACAAAAAGCTGAAAGAGAAGAAAATGTCAAGACGATGGCAGCATTCAGTCTGGATTAAAAGGCAGCGGTGTTTTCAGGCATGAACAAAATCACCAAACCAGTGTAATGTAGCATGGATTAGGATTGCGGCACAAAATCAGAATCATCATTTGAAGTTTTTAGTTTTCCTGCAGTTTTCCTTTAGAATTGGTCATCGCTTGGACAGGTTTATGTACCTAAATACCTGAAGACACACTTGGAGTTGTTTTCAAGAGCTTTTAGCTGTTTTGCAAATCTTACACAGCCCTTTCCCGCAGCTGTGAGCATCCTGTGGCTAAGTGGAAAGGTGTCCTCGCTTGTTGTCTGTCCTGTGTAGCGCCTAAGCAGCAGGGCTGTTCAGGATCAGAGGCTCAGTGATTAAGTCAGTTCAACACCTATTAGCACTACAAAGACCAGCCGCCTTGGCTGTGCTGATAGTAGAAATTTAAACAGTGTGGGGGAACATCTGCAGCCACGGGGACGCCCTCACCTACCCCACTCCCTCCTTAGAGCGGTCCTTTTGGTTTGTACCTACCAGCACGCTCCTGAGAAAAGCCTGGGCATGGTAAAGGAGTTTATGTGGGCCAGGGGCTATTCCTCAAGGAAGGTTTGGGTGAGATTAGGCTGATTTGGAGGCGTGAGTTTAGCAGTGAGGTTGTTGGCTGTCCCTTGTCAGTTGGCAGCAGGGCCAAAGAACTGTCTCGAGGATGCTATGTTTACTATATACTATATATTTACTACGTTACCTGAGAGTACCAGATACAGCCTGGATGCACTGGCTAATTAACCTTGTTGGGAAAGGGAAGATATTATCCCAGTTAAAAACTGCCCTAACAAGGTTGCAGCACCTCCATTACCTGCAGTGCCCTGGGTATGTCCAGATGTCCCATCACGACAGGGCACCATCCAGATCGTTTCTGCCTGTCAGCAGGCAGGGAGGTTTTTGCATCCAGCCATTTCCCTCCTGACTGGCACCATGTGCTACAGTAGCATATTTTTTAGCATCCCATCTGTGGACAAACATAGGCTTTTGTAGCACTCAAGGTGCATGATATGATCAACTGGAGTTCTTCATTTGCATGAATGAAGGAAACAAACCTTTCTCCTGTCCCATAAGCTGTATCACCCTTAAGCTCCTCGTGACACTCGCCAGCTTTCTCTACTCTCAGACAGAGAGCACTGGGCTTTCTCCAGGGCTCAGACTTTCTCCTGTGCTGTAGACAGGCCAGCAAATTAGCCCCTAGACATCTCTCTTGGCTTTCAGCCCTTTCTAGCTTAGGAGAAACTAACAGATGTGCCCTTTTTGCTGTTCTGCTCTGAGCTCATTATAGGTTTCCAGGCAGGGGAAATTAGCAAAGTCTCCTTAGCATCTGCCTTTTCCAGCCAAGGAGGAGTCACATGCAGACAAGCTCCTCAGCCCTGGCTATCTGATCTTATTTGGGCACAGACCCCTGTAAGTTCGCCACCCAAACCGTCCCCCTCCTTTGCCACTTGTGCCAGCCCCAGCTGGTCCTCCCGGGTGTGTGTTCCTTTTTTTCTCACAGGGGAAATGAACTTGCTGTGCTTCAAGAGGTCAGTGCGTTTGTGGCATTGCTCTAGAGAATTTACAATTGGGTTAGATGAGTAGTCAGAAAACCAAAAAAACCCCTCTAAGGCTTTAGTTATATTTCTTTAACAGTGGTAGAAGAAGACATGGATCTGTTGTCAATCAGTTGCCATGGTTATTCATTTTTCTTAAAGCCTCAGGTCCTACAGCCCAGTAATTACCTGAGAAACTTGGGTTTTGCCTTAAAAGAAATTATAATAACAGCTGCGTATAAAGGCATGGAAATACTCATTCTAACAGGCAAACCGAGAAAATATTTAAAAAAAAGCAGGGGCAGATGTGTGGATGTGAAGTGGGGGAGGATGACAGCTGACAGGGCCACATCCTGGGTGACACGTCCCCACACCAGATCATCTGATGAGGAACGACGTCTGTGTCAGTTCATATGACAAGGGCCCATGCGAGATCTGGTCATACGATGAGGAAGGGAAATGTCATCCTCACTGCCAGGCCACGTGCCGAGGGCCAGGCCATCCAGTCACACAAAGAGGAAGGTCTCTTCCTCCTCCTCTCCCCCGGGTGCATCACCTCGTCTGGCTCCAGTGCAGGCAGAGGCAGGCTGTCACATTGGGTTTTGAACTGGAGAGTTCCGAGCGCTTAAAGCAGGCAGCAGGAGAGTGGGAAGGGCAGGTTACTCACAGATCCCTCATTTGGCAAAGCCACATCACGAAGTAAATTTTGCTGGTGGTGTTTAAGAGCTCGCTGGGTTTGCGTGAGTGTCTACATGGGGAGAAAACCCTTCACCGTTGATCAACCACTATCATCATTGATAATCACAGTGATGGTTAACACCTTCAAACCCATCATGGCTGTGCCTTAGCAAAAAATAATTTCTATAGTGTGAGACAACACCTTTTTAGTTCCTGTTGGCATGTAGTAACTTCAATATTAACAATGAATTCTAGCAAAAAAACTTTATGCCTCTTTCTTTCACCAGCAGAATATTAGTGGGGATCAAGATGATGTCTAACAGTAGGGCAACCAGCTATAGGAGACTCTTACTTTGGATGTGGAAGACTTAATTCGCACCAGGAGGGCTTTGAACCAAGAAGGGATATTCATTTTCTGAAGAAGTTGGTCTTTTTGAGCCTCAAGCTGTTGGAGCCTGGTGCAGGAATTATCAAGGCAAATCTATCTATCCTGTGAAACGCGTTGGGGTGGACAAGGTAATCACAACAAAAGTAGGGGTTGACACAGTTATTATTGGAGTTTATTCCAGTTTTATGCTGATATCAATCCTTCTATGCTAAGCCACTGGCCTTATTACAATAGATACCATGATCCTGTAACTGTTGGTACCTCAGAGGGAGCCAGACAGTACCGTTACCTCTGCTGGATATATTTTTAGTCTTGGAGCTGTGATGGACCTGCCACAATAATATGAAGCAAAGGCAAATACACTGCAAGCACAAATCACAGAATCATTCAGGTTGGAAAAGACCCTCGGGATCATCAAGTCCAACCATCAGCACTACACCACTCTTTCTGTGAAAACTTTTTCCCTCATGCCGAGTCTGACCCTCCCCTGTTGCAGTTTCCAGCCGTTCCCTCTTGTCCTGTCCCTGATCCCCTGGGAGCAGAGCCCAGCCCCAGCCTCTCTGCAATGTCCTGTCAGGAGCTGCAGAGAGGGATGAGGGCTCCCCTCAGCCTCCTCCTCCTCACACTGAACACTCCCAGCTCCTTCCCTGGCTCCTCACAGGATTGATTCTCCAGGCCCTTCCCCAGCCTCGTTGCCCTCCTCTGCCCTCGCTCCAGCCCCTCCAGATCTCTCTGGGATTGAGGTGCCCAGACCTGGACACAACCCTCCAGGTGTGGCCTCACCAGTGCAGAGCACAGGGAGACTGTCACCTCCCTGCTCCTGCTGGTCACACTAGTGCTGATACAAGCCAGGATGCCGTTGGCTTTCTTGGCCACCCGGGCACACTGCTGGCTCCTTTTCAAATGGGACAGCCTAGAATATATGTTTGCATGACTTTGGCCAATTGCCTAAATGCCGGCTACAGTCAGTAGAGACAGAAATAATTCGCTTGTTCCTCTGACCCATTTCAGACACCTGTGGTAGGATGAGATAAATTTCCAGTCACTAAAGCAAGATCCTTCCCTCTTAGTGCCACTGAGCAATAAGGGATCAACTGAGCTGGGCCCCCAGCTCTATAGATTGCAATGAATATATTCTTCTTGGTGTCCACCAGTAAGGGTAACAGCAGAATTAAACCCCATTTGAGGAAGAAAAGGGCATCTGGATTTTGTATTTTTTTTCTAATTTGAATTATTTAGAACTGAGCAGTACTGAATGAGCCAATAGAGTTAGGAAACTTAGAAAATATCCAGGTGTCGGAACAAACAGGTAAGAATATTAATATGGGGTTTAACCTCTCAGCTTGTGTGAATGGGATATATAAATGCAAATCTGGAAAGACAAGACTGATGGAGTAAACTTGACATTACAACAGTGATCTGTCTAGTGGGTCAGTGGCTGCTCCATCCAATGTCCCAATGGCCACTCCATACAGGTTAATTTTGAGACACTAAAAGAAAGACTTTGTCCTTTCTGTGGCAAATGGAAAAAAAAAAAATCCAATGAATTGTCATTAATCAAAATATATGATGGCCAAAACACAGAAAAGATGAAGCCCTCACATTTAAAATTAAATCAAATGCCTTGTAATATGACACAGATAAATACTTTACAATTACGGGATGCAACATCAGTGCCTGTAGGGAAATACAGAACAATATATTTCTAATGCCAGACACTCGAGAGACTATTTATTTAAATTGCATGAAGATTTACACTCCACTAATCTCATTATGAACCATACATAGGAAACATGGGTTGAAGCATATTCTATGATAAAATTGGACCTTGAAAGATTATCGCATTCATAAGGATCTTCCCCTAAATAAAGGCAGCAAGACACTATATTTTGCAACACCTGGCTCCAGAAAGTAATGCTGTTAGAAAACAT